AGGCAACACTAGTTAACTCCAGGCAAACCTGGCTCCCAGTGTATCTACTCTTCTCGACTCCTCCCCGGGTGAAGGTGTCTCTATAATGTCTAAAAATAAGTCATCCAGTTACTTAGATCCCCTGAAATGATTCTGTTTCAAAGAAACACTGCCATCTCTCCAGCATTTTCTCAGCCTTTAGATGTCATATCTGGATATCATGAAACAAACCAAACACATAAAATAAATGGGAACATTTAAAATGAGATCATGTTGCACATCTCCTGTACCTTTCCCATGCTGTACCTGTGTCATGCTGAGACCTCAGGTGCACTGATGATCTCATTCAAGATAACAGACAAAATGAACACTTTCGCATTCCAGGATACATGTTTTGGTCTTTCAGAAATAACAGGAGCAAGCATTTGGCCTAGCAGCTAAGTCGACAGGATGCCCATGACCATACATCAAAGTGTATGGGTTCGATGCCTGGCTCCGGCTCTTGAACCCAGCTTCCTATTAATGTGAACCCTGGGAGGCAACGTTGAAGGCTCAAACAGCTGGGTCTCGGCCACTCATGTGGAAGATCTGGAGAGAGTTACCAGCTCCAGCCGTTGTAGGGGTTTGAGCAGTGAATCAGCACATAGGAACATGTGCTCACTTGCAAGTTCTCTCTGCCTCTCTCTGCCCCTCAAAGAAACAATTTTTTAAGAAAGAAAAAAAATTGGTAATATTTAACTAGACCTAACTTTGCACAATGGGCTGACAATGTAAAGCTTTATGAATTTTTTTCTCCACTTTCAGTCCCTCTTCTGTTGCAGTGTCTTGTGTTGTTTTAGTCAACAGCATCTTCTAGTTTAAACAAAGACTGCCTGGTTCTGCTGGAGATAAGAATCTAGACGGAGGCTTTCGTAGTGTTTTACCTGTTACTTGTCTAAACCACCAACTGCCAAACGCAGGCTCAGCCTTGAAACACTGCAGGGACCAAAAACACAGGATTAACTGCACAGACCTGTGCCTCTAACAGCAGCTCCAGTAGTAGCAGCTAGTAGACGGATAAAGGGCAGGATGTTACATGGTAAAATGATAAATCCTCGAGAAGCCTAAAAATATCAAGTTCAAGCACAGAATTAGTAAAATGATGGCAACAGTGTGCCTACAGATCTCCAACAGAAAGATTCAAACAACCAGGTACTTAGAGGAGATGGGAATGCCATTTCTTGAATAGCCAACCATCCCCAATGAGAAAAATCAAAATAAGTATTGGCAGATAGGAAAATGAGTTGCTCTGCAGACACTTCTAACAAGGCACCTACATTATACTGAATTTTGCCTATTCCTTTTCATTTCTAAGGATTTAATCACATTCCACCAGCCTATTACTGAAAGGGAGTATTTATGTATTTTAATTTTCTAATCAACTTTCTATTAGTAAGTATGAATATTAAAGAATAAACTAAACTTTAATGTTTACTCTGCACTTAAAGTTTTAAATAAATACATAAATACATTTGCCATAAGTGGCAGTGGCGGGGAAGGACTCCCTCACTTATGAAGTCTAATTTATAAAACAAGCTTTTAAAAAAGTATTTGAAAGCCAAAGAGACAGACAGATCTTCTATCTGCTAGTTCACTCCACAAATGCCTGCAACAGCAAGCGTTAGGCCAGGTAGAAGCCAGCAGCCTGAACACAACCCAGGTCTCCCGCATGGATGGCTGGGCCTCGAGCACTTGAGCCAACACCTGCTGCAAACCAGGGTCTGTATTGGCAGGAAGCTGGGACTGGAAGCTAAACCAGGACCCAGACTCAGGCACTCTAATGTGGGACACAAGCATCCCAAGCAGCATCCGAACTGCTGCGCCAAACACCCAGCCCAGCAAAGTTTCCTCATTCTCTGATCAGTTAGACTCTATCTGGTTTATAAAGACCTCAAAGAAAGAGGGGTCCTCAGAAGCCCAAGCCCATAGCAAGCCCCTGCTGTACTGTAGGCAGTGTACAGGATCCTGAACTATTAAAAGAAACCCAACTCCTGCTCTTTCAGCAACCTGTCACAAATGGGAAGACAAGCTCCTAGGTTCTTACTGGTATAGTCTGTCTTAAGGAAGAGTGGTCTGCACAAGATTTTGAGAAAACAGCCAGTCTCCCATTCCAGATTCAAAGAGGGGTAGAGGGGCCAGCACTGTGGCATAGCAGGTAAACTGCCACCTGCAGTGCCAGCATCCCATATGGGTGTCAGTTCGAGACCCACTGCTCTATCCTGCACTCTGCTACGGCCTGAGAAAGCAGTAGAAGATGGCCCAAGTCCTTGGACTTAAAAAAAAAAAAAAAAAAAAAAAAAAAAAAAAAAGAGGGTTAGGGAGGGATGATTCCCACAGCTCAGAGTCCTGAGAAATATTTTGGTTGCTGATAAAATGTTGGTATAATATTTGAAAACCCAGCTGTGCATGATCAAAGGAACTTGAGTGACCACGGTGTTTCGCTTTTCCTCCTGCACCATTAGCATCAGCCCCAAGGGCTGCCCCCGAGACAAATCAAAATGGCATGCCCCACACTGCCCTAGCAAGAGCCAGATTTCAATACTGTCAACATCGGACTTTGAAACCAGGGATCAGTTTTCTTGTACACTGTTTTATGAGACCAGTATGTAAACCTTAATGCTTACACAAGGAAATCAGTCAAGATACTTCAGTGAAAGTGACTTAGAGAAACTAATCGGGCCGGCGCCGTGGCTCACTTGGCTAATCCTCTGCCTGTGGCGCTGGCACCCTGGGTTCTAGTCCCAGTTGCTCCTCTTCCAGTCCAGCTCTCTGCTGTGGCCCGGGAGTGCAGTGGAGGGTGGCCCAAGTGCTTGGGTCCCTGCACCCGCATGGGAGACCAGGAGGAAGCACCTGGCTCCTGGCTTCAGATTGGCGCAGCGCAAGCCGTGGCGGCCATTAAGGGAGTGAACCAATGGAAGGAAGACCTTTCTCTCTGTCTCTCTCTCTCACTGTCTAACTCTGTCAAAAAAAAAAAAAAAAAGAGAGAGAGAGAGAGAGAGAGAAACTAATCACCCCCAAAAATCTCTTACTGTATTGGGAAATGCTTTTCCAGTAGAACGGATCATTGGAAAGAATGAAGACATGTGAAAGAGAAACAAACACAACAAGGAAGAGGGCTTCTCTTTGTACCGGGGAGTTAGACAAAATGCCAACCTGCAGGAGTGAAAGACTCATCCTAGTAGTTCACTTCTAACACACAATCCAGAAACACCAACGCTGGCTGGGCCAAATCCAACAGACTCTTGAAGGCCGCCTGATGAGCCGGACAGGGCAGGTAACAGCAGCTTCCTTGCACATTGTGTGAGACGTCGAAGATGCTGAGACATCATACAAACTATTTCTGCAAGATGGCCCTTTCATTTTCGCAATCATACGTACAGTTGAATAAACAAGGCAACAAAGAAATACTGACCTTCCAAAATGACTCAGAACAATGTGCTGTTTCTAGACCCTTATTGATCATTCCAAGATCTGCCACCTGGCCCAGTTCTAGAGCTGAGTAATCAATGTTTTTGTTTTAAAGGTTTATTTTATTTATTTGAAAGAGAGTTACAGAGAGAGGTAAAATGAGAGAGAGAGAGAGAGAGAGAGAGAGAGAGAGAGAGAGAGAGAGTCTTCCATCTGCTGGTTCACTCTCAAAATGGCCACAATGGCCAGAGCTGAGATGATCCAAAGCCAGGAGCCAGGAGCTTCTTCTGGGTCTCCTACGCTGGTGCAGGGGTTCAAGCACTTGGGCCATCTTCCACTGCTTTCCTAGACCACAGGAGAGAGCTGAATCAGAAGTGGAGCAACTGGTACTCACACCAGCACCCACACGGGATGCCAGCGCTGTGGTGTAATGGGTAAAGCCGCTGCCTACAGTGGCAGCATCCCATATGGGCACCAGTTCAAGTCCCAGCTGCTCCACTTCCTATTCAGCTCTCTGTTGTGGCCTGGGAAAGCAGTGGAAGATGGCCCAAGCGCTTGGGCCTCTGCACTCATGTGGGAGACCCAGAAGAAGCTCCTGGCTCCTGGCTTCGGATCGGCCGTTTTGGCCATTTGGAGAGTGAACCAGCGGATCAAAGACCTCTCTCTCTGTCTCTGCCTCTCTATATTTCTGACTTTCAAATAAATAAATAAATAAATATTTTTTTAAAAAAAATCAACGTTTATATTCACAGCATTGCAGAGTGCATTGCTGGGAATCAACCAAAAAATCCCCACTGGCACCAATGAGGAGGCCGAAGCTCAGAGGGTTGAATGGCTCTGCACAAAGACCCCAGCTGGAGACCAATCAATCAGGTTCTATGATCCAAACTGAAACTCAGAGACTAAGCAATTTACTCTGCCTTTTCAGCTAATTTGTAGAGAAATACACTATAAATAATCCAAAGTTTCTTTTTAAAAATATCTGAATTGATACTTTTACAAATTTGTAAAGTATTGCAATCATTTAATGGGGGTGGTTAAACAGTGTTTTCATAACCACCTTTCAAAGTTGAGCACATGTTGAAACTAACTGGACCACCCAAGTAAAAAATCTAGTTATGCCATTTAATGTTTATTTGGTTTGTTTCTAAATGTGTATTTAAGTGGCAAAGTCATAAAGGGAAGAATTAATGATAATCGATACCAGATCTGCAACCATGAAGCTCTTCTTGGGTTTACAGCATTTAGTGAAGTCACCCAAGGGGGCTGGGGTGGGGGAAGCATTCTAAAATGAGAAAACTCTGTCGAGTGCTTGAAAAGCAAGTCCTGGCTGCCTGATGCATTCTGAAAGCTGAATTACCCAAAGACCAAAACACGATCCAGAGAAAGACACTTGTTAAAAGGAAAATGGAGAGAGTCTAGAAACGTGGGGGTGTGGCAGATGAGGTTTCATGCCAAAAAAGGGTATGTTTTGTGTCCTTCCAGTTATCTTCAAAATTCTAAGTCACAACCCTAGATTCTAGACTGGAGTACAAACTTCAAACTACCTAGAAACAAAGGATGGATTTACTTACCTGCACTTGCAGATGGTTCATATTCCGGAGGAATGTCCATAATTTACTTGGAACTCAGAATACAGCTTCTCATAAAAACAGTGTCATAAATATAGATTACGTTTCCAGACCAGCCTAAAGAAACATTTTTAAAAATTCCATGTATACCTAAGGTAATAATACCATGAAGTACAGAACCTAAGCGAGAAGGAAAAGCAAAGAGCCTGGGACATAAGAGGAGGCGGCGTGGGGATCTGGGGGTGGGGGAAGCCTGCTTCCACACGTCCTTCCCTTGCCTCTTAACATCCAGCTAAATTCATGAGCAATCCTGACCCCTGCTTCCCTCTGTCTCCTTTCCATCCTGTTCCCATCTCTAACACCAGCTCTCATAAGAAAGACAAAACAGACACAAAGCTATTTTATTTCCCACCTTCCCTTTTCTCTAATAGGCAAAGCAGCAAGCGGTGCCTGGGACTGAGGAAGCAGAAATGAGGATGGCAGAAGCTCCAGGAGAAAGGCCAGCGTAGACAGCTCGACAGCACCAAAGCCAGAACCCCTGCAGCAGCCCAAGCAGAAAGCTGCCCCCAAGCAGAGGGCTCTGGAAAACTGGGCTGCCATACTCAAAGGTACTTCAAAGAGTTTGTGGGAAAGTGAAATTAAAAGATTTTGGTGTACAGAAATTTTGAAATCCATGCCTAGCTTTTTCATAATATGCGTTTTCCATGAATGTTTTGATGACGCCCTCAAAAAGTTAGGAAATGCTTCCTGGATATGAAACATTCCTTCTCCAAGAGTGAGCCAAGGTACAAAATTAGGTCAGGCAGCACATGGGTGACAGCGCCTAGTGCACGGCACACAAAAAGAACTGTGTATAACAGTACATTGGACTCTGAAGTTCAGTTTATTCATTTTTTAAAAAATGTATTTGAAAAAGAAGGGGAGAGAGAGGGAGAAAGAGAGAGAGAGAGAGAGAGAATCTCATCCAGGTGTTCATTCCCCAGTGCCTGCAGCAGCCAGGGAAGGGCCAAGCCAAAGCCAGGAACCCAGCTCCCTAAGCCATCACAGCGCCTCCCAGGGTACACATCAGCAAGAAGCGGGAATGGACTTGATCCTTTGCATTAGGGTGAGAACATACAGCGGGCGACCAAGTACCGCCACAACCTTCCAGGTCCACAGATCTGGCAGAGCCTGGGATTCATCTGATTGTAGTCCTGACCTACAATAGTGAATCTCCCTTTTAAATTCCTCATTGATAAAAATACACCACACAGACCTGGCCACACCCATAAGGTAAGACAGGCATGAATTTGAAGTGTGAGGTGAATTTAGAACAGATATTCTAGCTGGGGGTGGGGGAGGGAGACGCAGGAGAGCCCTCGTCCCTGGAGCCACAGACAGCACCTCAAAAACCAGTGTGCTCAAAACAGAACCAAATCCTTCTTAAAACTACACCTTGGGTTCTCAAAGACATATTGAGTCACAACTAATGCCACTCAAATTAGGCTCTGCCCAGGGCTGCGTGCCTTTCCACACGCACCGTTGGCCCCGCCCCTTCCGTCCTCGCCTCAAGGAAGAAAAGACTGATTTAGGCAAGTGAAGGCAGGGGAGAAGCATGCCGGAGGAGAGTGACTGTGGTATCCTCCAGGCACCTGCTTCCGAGACCACAAGGAGCGGCAAGTCACCACGTGTTACAGGACGAGCTCAGGACTTGGACGGACGTGATGGGTTCATTCCGCTGCGGTGCTGGGAGCCGCACATGCTCCACCATCCTGCAGTCCTGTGCTCCAGCGAACCCCGAAGTCATGAGGGAGGCAGTGTGACACACGGGGAAAGGCGCTGGGCTCAATCGGGAGACCTCGATTTTTCGTATGGACTTTGTCAGCTCCTCTCGAGGGAAGGGGCACATTAAACTGCTTTCTCTCTGGGACTGGATTTCCTCATCTGTGAAAGAAAGAGCAGACAGGATGCCAACGGATACGTAAACTGAAACTCAGGGCCACGTACATACCCCACTACATGTGGCAGGCAGACAGGCTCCGAGATCTTCCAGCAGCCCAGGCCTGCACTTCTGCGCCTTGACACAGGGGTATAGCAAAGCCCCTATGTAGGAAGCCGCGCTCACGTGCACCCAACGAAACATCGTTTTAACTGAAAACCTGGCATACAGCACACAGAGGGTGAGAGGCATCAGTCCTCGCCTCTCTCAATGTGTCATACAGTGAGAACACTATCCAAAAACACGGCTCGTGATGCAATGCAGTTGCATCAGATTTCAAACTTTCATCAGATTGAACCCTCTGGCAGAGGTCTCCCGGCAAAACAACTTCATTCCACCTGGCAAGCCACTTCACAGAATGACAGCAACACTGTTCTTTGGTGGTGCCGGAACCGGTGTGTGTGCTGTGTCTTCCTAATGAGGCTCCGCGTGGCTTCAGGGCAAGGAATAAGTCCATCTCTGCATTAGGGCTGGCATTGAACAAGCTGACTCAGTGCCTGTTAGACAATAAAAACATTAGTCTGCACAGAGCCTGGGGTGTGGCCTTCTGAGATGTTCCAGTGCCTTCATGGGGTGCGTTAATCCCCCGAGTGGGAGAAACTGTTCTGGAACACTCTCCCTAATAACTCCCGGTCCTGCCTCCGCTCTTTCCCACTCTCTCTGCCCTTCGTCTTACTCTGCCTCTGCCTAGATTCAAACTTCCCACTCACAAGGAAGCACACCCTGGACGGTTATTCCCCTCGCCCTTCCTACTCTCAAGCCTCATGTGCTTGCTTCTGTGTGTAACCTGGACCCTGATCCATTTCACCAGGACCTCTTACACAGAGTCACTGCAGGCACTTTTCCTTTCCAAGTCCCAAATCTGCACTTTCTGATTTAAACTGAACTATTCTTTTAAGATCTAAAGGAGATGGGCAGTTGGCCAAGAAGACAGCACAGCCCTGGGTATCTGAGCACAGAGATCGACACGCCATAAGAGGGTACCTGAGCATTATATGAAAGCCCAGAAAACGCACTCAATGGGAAATTGAGCTCCACATGTACAACCACTTGGTGCTCCAAAGTACAATTACAGTAAGAGTCTGCCCCAGACTATCAGCTCCTCACTCCTTTACTTCCACACCTGAAGCAATGTGCCCCTCCTCATGCACCAATCTGTTATCCTCTCAGCTTCAAAAGCTGACTGCCCAGAGCTACATCTCCAGAGAGCCAACTCCTAATAGCATTTCCTCGGAGTGCTTTGCCTCCGAACCTTGAAAGGAGCCAAGAAGGCTTGAGCCTCTCAGGTTTAACAACTTTGTGTGGCATGCCTGAATTGCAGGGGCTTTTTAACTCCAACCATAATCCCCTTTTACATCTTGACAGTAACAGAAAAAGGATTATATAAATGATAAAAACCCAGGGCGCGGATACATGAAATCCTGCATCCACTTCCCAACTCATTCACCGGCTCTCTGGAAAACATTAGGTAAGGCATTTTGCATCCATTTCTCCTCCTATGAAATAGTGCTTTACAAAGCGGTGTAAGATATGGCATCATATTGTACATACAGTTTTCCCTTAAAAATAAGGACAGTTATCACATCTCTCTGTGTTATTTTGTACCCTCCCATGCTACTGACAATGGAAACCCATCCCCTTTTAAAAAAAAAAAAAAAATATATATATATATATTTGAAAGGCATGGAGGTAGAAATAGAGATCTCCCAAATACTAATTCAGTCCTAAATGTCCACAACAGCTGGGGCTGGATCAGACTGAAGCTGGGAGTTGGGAACTCAATCCAGGTCCCCTACATGGGTGGCGGGTACTGAAGTGTGTCAGCCATCACCACTGCCTCTCAGGGCACACAGGGGCAGGAAGCTGGAAGTGAAACTGGAGCTGGAACTGGAACCCACACACCTAGGATTTTGGCAACCTAAACAGGGTCTCAACTGCTAGGCTGAAAACCCAATCTAGAAAACTCTATTCATCAAAATGAAGACACTTCAATTTGTGTACAAGGAGGCCATGTAGTTGTCACAAATAATTCCTGTAAGTAAACACTTAGTGACTGGGGCCATCTTTTTATACCCACGTACACTTCATTTAACGTACAATGGAGAGAAGGACTACAAGTGTAAGAATAACAAGAAGCTGGGCTAGCGCCATGGCTCACTTGGTTAACCCTCCACCTGTGGCACCAGTATCGCATCTGGGCACCGGGTTCTAGTCCCAGTTGCTCCTCTTCCAGGCCAGCTCTCTGCTGTGGTCTGGGAGGGCAGTGGAGGAGGGCCCAAGTGCTTGGTTCCCTGCACCCGCGTGGGAGACAAGGAGGAAGCACCTGGCTCCTGGCTTCGGATCAGCGTAGCTCCAGCTGTAGTGGCCACTTGGAGGTGAACCAACAGAAGGAAGACTTTTCCCTCTGTCTCTCTAACTCTGTCAAATAAATAAATAAAAAAGAAGCTAATCACTCACACCAGGACTGTGCAGGTCAGTGCAGAGAGAGGATGAATATTTGATTTCCTAATGACATAGTAGGAGAATCCATGGAACTGGGCTTGTTGTGTCACCCCCTCAGTGGGTGACTAACACGGAATGGTTTTTACAGTACTCACGTCAGAACTACCAGAGTGCATTTCTAAGCCCCTTTTCCCATCTTTAATGACATCTTGAGAGGATCCTCAACTTGGGAGTCAGTTTTGGTGACTATACTTTAGGTCAGTTTAGATTTTTAATTCTCAAATTCAATTTTAATTTTATACAAGCCCCTGTCGTGGCCAGGAGAAGCTAGTACTGGAACTGCAAACCTGGGGGCGAGGGGCAGGAGGGAGCTGGTTTCTGCTTTAACTTGTCCCTCCTGCCTTCACCCAGAGAACTGGTAGGGAGAGAAAACAAGTGTTTCCCTGCAGGACTGGCCCTGGTCCCTGCTCTGGCTAAATGCTGGCTGCTATGTGAGTTCTTCCAAGGGCCCCATGGGATCGCCTCATAACACAGCTCCCCTGACGTGGGAAACCGGATTCCAGCTCTGGCTCAACCTCTTCTACCATCCCTTGCTTGGCTTCTGTTACGAAAGACAGCCTCTTGGGGACAGTGCTAGCGCAACAACTCAGTGCCCTCTTCCCCTAGGGAAAACTCACTTCTCCTTGCCCCACGGAACGTGGGACATGGGAGCTGCTCCATTGGTAGTGCCTCTTGCTGCTGTTCCTCCCCAGCTCCCTCATCTCCAAGCCAGAGAGCCACGGGGCAGCGGGCAAGCCTGCCTAAGCAGGCATATAACCAGCAAATCCAACACTAGGCTTGCCTTCTTGCAAGTACTTAGTCCCTGCTCAAGTCTCAGAATGCTTCCTTCACTTCCTGCATAAAACTGGTGGGCTTCTCTCCCATCCCTCCCTGATGATCTATGATCAGAAAAGGCTCGGATGGGGAGAGGAATGGGAAGTAGTGGCAGAAGAGCCAGTTGTATTTTCTCTTGACAAAATGTTTTTTCGGGGGAGCTATCCGGTCCCAAATGTCCTTGGCTGTCATCGGCTGGTGACGTTCGCAAAGCTGCCTATTTTATCTGGAGCCTTAGGCACCTATTCTAAGACAGCAGAAAAGGCTTACTCAACTATTGCACACTGAATGGTATAGAACCACTAACTTAACACAGACATTTTAAAGTAGCAGAAACGATAACATGAAATCTAGGAAATGTCTCTTGTACACGTAAAAAGGTCTGCATCCATTCGCAGTGGCATATAAAATGCAATTTATCCGCTAATTCCACTCGTTAATTATACTAATCTAGTCCTTGGCACCTGTATTTGATATCTACCCATTTGACTTACCAGAAACTAATGTGTATTTTCATTACTTAAAATTGCATTTCTGTTGATTCCTTTATGTTTCTGATTGCAATATTGTAATGTGCTAGGTTAGTCCATAAAGTTTCTATTAAAACTTCTATTTCTGTCATACAGAAAAATTACTTTATTTCATATTCTTTTGAACTGTAAAAATTTAAGATCACTTTAATGAAACAAACCTTTAATTTGAAATAATTTCAAAATAATGACTGATTCCAATTCATTTTAGTTATCTTAGTATTTTTAAGCCTATCTAAAACAAAGTACTTTCAAAGAAAAGCAGTATGTTTGGTTCAAAATATATTAAAAAGGTAGTAATAATTTATTTTAAGCTTTCAAGTTTTTAAAATCTATTGTCAAATTATCCACTTTGCACAGCCATCCATCTAGTAAGACAAGTATTTTTATCTCTCTTTTAAAGATGTGAACATTAGGAAACCAAAGGGTATCACAGAAATCCAATTAGTTTTGCTGAATATGAGGAGGAATAAAATACAGAACTTTTCTTTTATCTCAAGATTCTAAAAAAAATACACTTAATTAATTGAGAGAACTATTATCTATATAACAGCTAAAGAAACTTGGTCAGTGTCCTTCTGCTAATGTCTAGATTCCAAAATCGGCCCCTTACTGTATGTTAGTTATAATCTGGATCAAAGAAGTACTCCCTGTTTTCCCAGGATTCCAAGAGGGTGATATTTTGATACACCCCAAAATTACTTCCTTGAATCATTGAACAATAATGAAGAAAAATAATGAAATGGCTAACATTTGCAGCAAATATGTCAATTATATATATATATAGCAATTATATAGAGAGAGCAATATACCAGCACATTTTGTTTCATGTTGGTATCCATGGATGAAAGTAACTTCTAAGGAGTTAAATAATTTACTCAAAGTCATATAACTAGGAAAAAACACACTTAGGACTCACACCCAAGTCTTGCCACTTTATATCTGCCCCTTTTCACTACTGTATGTGCACCTGTTCTCCCATAGCACTTAGGGTACTGCCCTAGCACAGGTTACTCATCTCACAGCTTGAGAAGTTCTTACGTTTATTTCATTTGATTTTCCCAGCAGCCCATAAGCAAGATAAGGTTGTACCATGTGGA